CAGGGAGCGGCCGCCGCCCGCCGGGCCGGGCCGGGACCGGGGCCGGGGCCGGGCTCGCGCTGCTCCGCGCCCTTCGCTGCCTCTCGCAGGCGCGGCGGAAGATGGCCGGGGCCGAGGCGGGGCCGGCGGAGGAGTCGTCGGACAGCGAGGGCGAGCCCGAGGGCGCGCAGAAGCTCATCCGCAAGGTGTCCACCTCGGGCCAGCTGCGCAGCAAGGTGGGTGGCGCGGCGCGGCGCGGCGCGGCGAGGCGAGGCGCACCTGGGCGCGGGCGCGGCGCCCGGGGCCACGGTCCCTCCCGCGCGCTTCCGCGCTCCGCATCCTCCCGGCGCCGGCGCGCAGGAGGGCTCGGCGGCGCCGCGGCGGCGCTCTCGGCCCGGCGGCCGTTTCCTGGTGGCCGCCTGCCCGGGCGTGCCGGGAAGCTCCGCGCCGGGCCCGTCCGAACAAGCCCTCCGACGCTTCTCCCCTCGGGGCAGCCCGCTTCCGCCGCGGCGCGGAGCTCCGGTGGGGGGCGGCGGCGGCAGCGGCGCGCCCCGGCCGCCCCCCTGCCGCGGACGCGCTCCCGAGCGAGTGCACTCCTGCCCGGCCCCGGCGGTGGGGCAGGAGGGTCCGGAGGCATGCCTGGCACGCCTCCGGTGCCGCCCAGCGCGAGCCAGCGGCGCTCGTGGAATTCCAGGTGGCGGGCGCGCCGCGCGTCCGGATCCTGCCCGTCTTGCTCGCTTCCTCCCGGGATCAAAGCGTTTCTTCGAGTACCGCTCAGCTGGAGCGAGGTGGAAGGGCCCTCCATCTGAGACGCCTGTGGACGGGAGGGAAGGGGCGGGCGTCCTTTCCCGGCGAGCTTGTGCCACGAGCGAGTGCCGCGCTCACCGCTTGGCGGCTGGAAGCGCCGGCATCTCCTGCAGAACCAGCTCAAACACGGGGCTGCATCTCCACTTGTCTTAAGATTCGGCAAAACCACCTGCAACCTTTATCGCTATCCATCCACTCGCGCGCATCCTACAGTGGGGGCATCAGAAACGCGACATTCGCAAGGGAACAAACATTCAGCAGAAGTCCAGAAGCTGGTAGGGAGAGCAGGTCTTGGGAGCAAAGCCGAGTCTTTCAAGTTTCTTATTTTCCCTGCAAATTTCCTTGCGACAGTTTGCCGTGCCCCCGTCCTCGCTTGAAGGGCACGTCTTACGCGCAGCCTGAAGGAACTGCTGTGCTCCATGCCAGCTCCACCAGTGCCCCTTTAAAATCCTTTCGTGGCATTTCATCTTAGAACTTCTCAGTGTCTTCCAGGTGCCAATACACCTCTGTGTCTCGGGCTGGCAGGGACCAAGTAAAACTGTCGCAGGTAACGTAACTCTGGTGGTTTGATGTTGAGGGAGGCAAGAAGGAAGGAGTGGAGCCCAGCCAAATAGCGTTCCTTTGAAAATAATACTGGAAAAGGTCTTTCTGCTTCTTGAACAGGGAGCTAATTAGTCTTTTGGCTGTGTGTGGCCCATGTTTAAAAGCAATTAATAGTTTGCTCAATGGTGATTTAGCAGGAAAGCTGTCGCAGGCTTTTTACAGTAGGTCACAGGTTAGAAACAGGCGTGTCAACACGTGACCCTTTCTGGAAACAGCAGCAGCAGTGGCGGCTGGTCACATTCTGAATGATAATCGCAGAAGAGGCAAAGGGGCCCATAGAAGGACTTCAGGCCAAGTCCCTGCCTCGTGCGGGGCTCCCAAGTCAAGGCAGCCCGCCCAGGGGGCTATCCAGCCACATCTGGGGTGGCTCCAGTGTGGGAGAGCCCCCTGCTTCTCCTCGTCACGGGTTGCACTGCTTCACTCCTCTGACGGCCAGGAAGTTTGTCCTGATGTTCAGCTGGAATCTGGCTTCCTGGAACTTCAGCCTCTTTTCCATGCCTGGATCCCAGCCCATCTTTGTGAGACAACCTTTCAAGTACAGTGGAGCCTTGGCCCACGGACTAAATCCGTTCCAGGACTCTGGTCACGACCCAAATTGGTCACGAGCCAAGTTAAACTTCCCCATAAGGTTCAATATAAATAAGGTTAATCCATTCTGTAACCATTTTCTAAATCAGAAAAATGTGAAGCAAAGTGACAACAACAAAGATCATGGCCATCTCCCCCCCCCCCCCCCCCAAGCACAAGCGCGGCCATCTCCCCGCCCCCAGTGCGACTGCAATCGCACCCGTCATCCCTGCAGGTGCCCGTCATCCCGGCACACTGGCGGGTGTGGGGGGAGAGGTGGGAGTGATCACGGGCGCACTGGCGGAGGGAGGGATGGGCGCAAAGGGCATGTTGGGGTGGGGGGATGGCCGCGATCGCAGTTCCGTTCGTGCCGGGAAGGCCTGCCTGGTCAGAGGCGGCTCCTGCAGGAAAGACAGGCGGGATCTCGGCCATCTCCCCACGGCTCTGCTTTGCTGCTGCCGTCTTTCCTGCAGCAGCGTGCCTCTGATCACGGACGCCTTCCCTGCACGAAAGCAACTGCGATTGCGGCCATCTCCCCACTCGGGGGAGGTGGGGGGAGGGAGGTGGCCGCGGTCTTGGTTGCCACCCAAAGCGGTGTTCGCAACCCAAGTCAGAAATGTTTGTTCGTGGACCAGTTTGTTCGTGAACCAAGGCATTCGTGAGCCAAGGTACCACTGTACTTGAAAATGCCATCCTATCTCTCTCTGTCTTCTCCAGTCTAAGCACCCCCAGTTCTTTCAATCTCCCAACAGGGCTTTGTTTCGATCCCCTGGTTTTCTTTGTCGCCCTCCTCTGAACCTTTTCCTGTTTGTCTCCATCTTTCTCGAAGCGTGGTGTCCAGAACTAGACACAGGGCCTAACAAGGGCTGAATAAAGAGGAACCCATAACTCATGTGGCTTGGAAGCGATGCTTGTATTAATGCCACTCGAGATGGCATCGTTATTTTTTGCAGCTACCTCACAGGGTTCGCTCCTATTGCACTTGTGATCAAAAACACTTCCAAGACCCTTCTTGCCTGAAGTGTGGTTATGTAAAGCATCCCCCCTGCACCCCTTGTAACTCTTCCTCCAGTTCCCAGTACAAACTATCAACTTGGGATGCAATCAGCAACCTTTAAACTGGCTAGGTTGTAGGTCACATGGCCTCTATATGAAATATTGGAATTCTGTAGAATAGATTATTTGCAATCCAGCATGGCCAGAACCAGAATCAGCAAGTGCAGGAAGGGGGTTCTGCTCCATAATCCCATCCCTCCCTTTTCTTGCATATCAAGGAAGGAATGTGATGCATTGTACGGGAAAAGTAACACTGCACAAAAGTAACACACTGCATTCCTGCTTTCTGCCTCCGTGTCTTCCGGTGGGTGCTCAGTGTGTGTTTGAATCTCTGCAGCACCTGTGGAGAGGTGTACCTGTCCTAGAGGCCACCCCCCACCCCACAACACATTTTCCTCATCATAATGAAGGTATGGTACTGATTTATTATATTAACAATATGTCAAAGTCCAGTACTTAAAGACCACTAAACAGAGGACAAGTTGCACATCTCTTGCTAAGACTTTTCTAAGAAGATTTGAAAACCATATGCTAGCTGTTTGATCACCATGTTCGGTTTATGCGCTGATTGCTGGAATGCACCATCAGGGCTTCCGCTGTTGTGTCCTCAACACATTCTAACAATGTGTGCGGGGGCACATGCATGCACACACCAAAGTTTTTTTATATATATATTTTATTAAAATATTTAAACTAACACTAAAAAAAAGCATTGAACATCACAAATATTGGATTCACTGGGTCAACCTCCTACTACATATTTTTTAACATTCTAATATCAAATTCCAATTAATTTATCATAGTTTGAAAAACATCTCTAAATTTACACCAAGTCCCGTTTCTCCAGCCAATTATAAAGAGTCCCAAGTTCGACAGAAATCCACACACCAAAGTTTTTTGTGCAGTGTTGTGGGGGAAAACTTGGAGTACTTTCACCCTTGGCTCAAAGTGCATATTTGAGCATGGCTTGGCTTGGTAGGCAGATGTGAATATCTTTGCACTAGAGAGGAGAGAACAAATTGTGAAGGTGTTACATTCAAATGACAGGCATGAAATGCAAACACCTTTCTTGTGTATCTCACATGGAAGTGCTAAAACTGTTTTTTCACCTGTGGTAAGAATTGGCCTGGGCCACCCAGCCAAGAAATCTTATACTTTTCCCACCTTTTAAAGGGGGCAATGGATCAGTTAAAATGGCCAGTGACTTTTTTCAGGCTGTATTGGAGAGCATTTCGGTTATTTTCAAGCAGGAAATACGATTGATTGAAATGAGTTGAGAAAGTATAACGTAACCCAAAGTGAACGGAGGAAAATGGATTGGCCACATTTGGGCTGGAGAAGCCCATCTGTGGACGTTGGGTATGAAGACTGAATCAGGTGTCTTCCCCTGAGCACCAGTGGCCTGTGGTTTGCATGTGGAGATTTCTGAGAGCATTTGGAAGCTTTGAAACAGAGCACTGGAGTCAATAGCGCACCTTCCATCTGGTCCATTTGCGCTGCTTCTTATTTTTATTGTGTCAGGTTTTGTAACCCGTTCGATTAAAGCTCATTCAGGAAATCTTGCAGTTCCAGGGATCCCTGACCCAGTGCAGCTGGTGGGAGAACACTGCGGTTTTGTAGTGCTTTTTTCTGTCCAAACCCACTTAGGGTTGTGTCCAGTTTGCTGAGGGGGTTTTTGGCATTTCCTGATTCTTCTCTGTGGGAATGTGCAACTTTTGCCCAATTGGTAGGATGTGGATCTACAGGGTTCAGTGTTTGAACAACTCTTTTTGGGAGCTCCTTGTATCTTGGGGGTGATGCTGTCTTAGCCTCTTTCTCTCTCCTGAAAATTAGAGAGCCATATGAAGCTTGAAGGAACTTTGGCTTGGATCTTAAAGGTGCCACACGTGATCGTGGCACACTCGTTTCAGCTGCAACCCCTTAAATTGCTCCCGATGGGTAGTATTTTGCCCAGTGTGGTGGACTGCACAGTAGTTAGTACGTTACACTCGGCCCCTTCTCATGCTGAAGGCCGTTTGGATCCTGCCCACTGTGGCTTCATAGCACTGTGAGTGGAAAGTTGGCCAAAAGAATTACTTTTAAAACATGGATTAAAATTAACTCTTCATTTAGTTTAAAAAGGATTTTAAAATTCTTTAAACATTTGGGTTGGATTAAATTCATCTATGTTGTAAGCCGCCCCGAGGCTTCGGCGAATGGGGCG